CAGCGCTGTGGCTCACTTGGTTAATCTGCCTGCAGCGCTGGCATCCCATATGGGTGCCGGTTCTAGTCCCTCTGCTCTTCTTCCAGTCCAGCGATCTGCTGTGGAGGATAGCCCAAGTGCTTGGGTGCCTGCATCCGCATGGGAGACCAGGAGGAGGCACCTGTCTCCTGGCTTCGGATTGGTGTAACTCTGGCTGTGACGGCCATTTGGGGAATGAACCAACAGAGGGAAGACCTTTCTCTCTGTCTCTCTCTGTCTCTCTCACTGTCTATAACTTTGTCAAAAAAAAAAAAAAAAAACCTGTAGAAGTTAAGAAGTAGGAGAGAGGCTGGCACTGTGGCTCAGCAGGTTAAAAGCCCCAACCTGCAGTGCTGGCGTCTCATGTGGACACTGATTGGAGTCCCAGCCGCTGCACTTTCAGTCAGCTCCCTGCTAATATGCCTGGGAGAGCAACGGAGGGGGGCCCAAATGCTTGGGCCCCTGCACCCAAGCCGGAGACTGGGAAGAAACTTCTGGCTTCACCCTGGCTCAGTCCTGGCTGTTATGCCCACTGGGGTAGTGAACCAGTGAATGGAAGATTCTCTGTCCTCTTTCTGTAACTCTGCCTTTCAAATGAATAAATTAAAAAAAAAAAAAAAAAGAAGCAGCAGCAGCAGCAGCAGTAGGGGAGAGCAGGGGCAAACCAGAACCTGCAAGCATATGCCGGAACCCACAGGAATGAACTGGAACCCATATAAACTTCCCAAGTAGGTAATAAGGTGACTTGCAGATGGGCCTTAATACTTGGCCCACAAGTTGAAGCTGAGGGAGGAGACTGGCAGCCCTTGTATTCTTGTTTTGATTTGCCTTGTGTACCTTCAATTATCCCGTTATTTGTAGTTGTTTTGAAAATTTATTTATTTAAAAGGAAGAGAGGTGGGAGTGACAGATCTTCTATCTGCTGGTTCACTCCTCAGATGGCCATAACAATCAGGTCTGGTCAGGCTAAGCAAGGAGCCAGAAACCATCCTGGTCTCTCCCTGGGTGGGAAGGGTGCAGACACTTGAACCAGCTTCCTCTGCCTTCTCAGGCGTAATAGTAGGAGGCTGAGTGGGAAGTACAGAGTAGCTGGGACTCGAAGTGGCACTCTGAATTGGGATGGCAGCATTGTAAGCCCTGGCCTAACCTGCTGGACCAAAACCAGTTTTTTTATTTTAGAAAATGAATTAAATTCATTTTTATTCATATGAATGTTACAAGTTTTGTGCTATTATACTTATTAGGTTGTATTTGTTGCTTTTCAACGTGATGTATTTCTTTGCTATTTTGTCTGGCTTATTTTGAAATGTATTTTTTTCTTTTTTGTTATATTTATGACGTTAGAAAATAAAAGATATGTTGAGGTTTTATTGTATACAGAACACTGTGTTAAATGCCTTACACTGATCATCTTAATTAGTCTGCACTGTGAGGCCGTTATTATGTCCCTCATTTTACAAATGGAAGAACTCTTGGACAGAAGTTAGACAACTTGCCTAAGATAACAGATGTGCAGTCCTTCCTATTTCCTATACCACCGCCACTCCCCCCAGTTCCAGGCAAGCAGTCCTCACTGTATAGTTTTCTCTAGCTGCTTTCCAGGGATGTGCACGTTTGTATATGTGTGTGTGTTTGGTTTTCAGCAGTTTGTTTATGATGTGTATAGAAATGATTTTCTTTTATTTGATATGTGCCAATTTTGAATTTGAAAATTTGTCAATCTTTAATCAAATTTCAGAAGTAAGGCATTATTCAGATTTGTTTTTCTGCCCTAATCTCTTTTTCCTCTCTGGGACTCCAGTTACATTTATATTAGATATTTTGAAACTATTCCACTGGCCCCTGAGGTTCTGTTCATTTTTTTTTTCAATCTTCTTTGCTTGTTGATCATTGTTAAATTTTCTTTAGTCTCTTTGACTTTTCTATCTTCCTTTTTACCATTGAACTCATTCAGTACATTTATTTCAAATATACTACACAAGTAGTTCAGTTGTAAATTTTTTATTAGTTTTTTTATATTTTCTGTTTATGTTTTATATATTTTCATTCATCTTATATTTGGTTTTCCTTACCTTATGGAGTTTAGTTATCATAGCTGCTTTAAAGTCTCTGTCTGCTAATTCACACATCTACTTTGTTTCAGCATTGGTATTTAATGATTTCTTTCCCCTTGATAATAGGTCACATTACATTGTTCTTTGAACGTCAAGTAATTTTGTGTTGCATCCTAGACACTGGAAGCTGTCATAGCCTCTGGATTCTGTTGTAGCCGCCTAGAGAACGTTAATAGCTGTGTTTTAGTAGACATTCAATCATCATAGTTCAGATTATAAGATCTGTCTCATTCTTCATTGTCTATGTCCCTCTGTCAGCTCAGTAATTCAGTTCTCCAGTATTTTCCATTCTTTTTCGGGTCCATCTCACACGTGTGTAATTTGAGTGTTCATCTCAGAGTGGGGAATCACTTGTCCAGCTCTGTTCCCCTTGTTCAGTTTCTGCCAGGCTCTCCTACTTCCCTCGTTCCTCGCAGTGGGATTTCTCTTGGCATTTAAGCCAAGTATGTGGCTCTAAAACTAAAGTCTGTTCTACGGGCAAAGCCACAGGAAGGGAGGGGACAAAATGAATGTGGGAAATCTCCTTACATGAATGCCCATCTGAGTTTTGACACCTTCTCCTGTAATCTGCCTTTTTTTGTTTACTTTCTCAGGCCTCACACATTTTTTTAAGGTTTATTTTTATTTATTTGAAAGAGTTACAGAGAGAGATAGAGACCTAGAGAGAGAGAGAGAGGTCTTGCATCCACTGGTTCACTCCCCAAATGGCCGCAACGGCTAGAGTTGAGCCTATCTGAAGTGGGTGCGGGGGCCCAAGGACTGGGGCCATCCTCCACCGCTTTCTCAGGTGCATTAGCAGGGAGCTGGATCAGAAGTGGGGCAGCCGGGACTTGAACTGGTACCCATATGGGATACCAGGGCTTTAACCTGCTGCGTCACAGTGCCAGCCCCGACATTGGTATTTGTATATCTGTGGTTGTGCATGTGTTCTGTTTTAGAGTTAGTAGTTGTAATAGAGGGATGGGCTGTTGTGGAATTATACCTTCTGATGTGTATGGTTGTATTTTTCATGCTGAATTGAGTAGTTTTTGATGGAGATAGCCATTATTATCTCTTCTACCTTGGTAGGCAATATTGAATTTTTCTTTAAATCCAACCTAATTCTTCTCCCATTTTTTTCTATACTAACTTCTTGAAAAAATATTAATTAGGTAAAAGATATTTGTTTTGTGTCCAGCAGTTGTACTGTGTATAAGTAGATTTGTCCTGATAACTGTATAATAAGACCTTTAAATAAATAAAAATCCTTATGGAAATAACTTGCTTATACTCATTAATCTGTAATTAACATAAGGTTAGATAGATCAGAAAAATGTCAGAGAATTATATGACAAATATGTTGGTAAGTTCCCCATAGTCACTGAATTTTGAAGGAGTTTTTTCTATGTGGAAATTATTTCAACTTCTATTTTTTTTTAAAGATTTATTTATTTATTTGAAAGAGTTACACACAGAGAGAAGAAGAGGCAGAGAGAAAGAGAGGTCTTTCATCTGCTACTTCACTCCCCGATGGGCCACAACGGCCAGAGCTGCGCCAATCTGAAGCCAGGAGCTTCTTCCAGGTCTCTCACACGGGTGCAGGAGCCCAAGGGCTTGGGCCATCTTCCACTGCTTTTCCAGGCTATAGCAAAGAGCTGGATCAGAAGTGGAGCAGCCAGGACTTGAACTGGTGCCCACATGGGATGCTGGCACTGCATGTAGTGGCTTTACCCGCTACGCCACAGCACTGGCCCCTTCAACTTCTTCATAAGAAAACACTATTTTTTTTTTATAGCTTTGCCTAAACTGGGTGGGGAATGTCCAGCCCACAGGCTATATAAGGCCCATGAAATCATTTGGCCCTGGGAAGACAACTGCAGGCAGGACTTGAAATTCAATAAATGTAAAGCAGACTAATTTTTTTTCAGGATTTATTTTTACTTATTTGAAAGGCAGAGTTATGGAGACAGGTAGACATAGAGAGATAGAGATCTTCCATCTGCTGGTTCACTCCCCAAATGGCCACAGTGATCAGGGCTGGGCCTATCTGAAGCCAGGAGCTAGAAGCATCTTCCTGGTCTCCCACTTGGAAACAGGGGCCCAAACTCTTGGGCCATCCTCTGCTGCTTTCCCAGGTGAATTAGCAGAGAGCTGGATAGGAAGAGAAGCAGCCAGGACTAGAACCTGCACGCATAAGGGACGCCGGCACTGCAGGCCAGGGCTTTAACCCACTGTACCACAGTGCCAGCCCCAGCAGACTAATTTTTAAGCTGATAATTTTGTAGGGCCAATGAATGTTGTTGTAAATACCCAAATGGCTCTTGGCAGAAAAAAAGTTTGCCCACTCCTGATCTAAATAAAAGGCATAATGGATTTTAATCCTGCAGTAGTGACATACATTTGGTCACCTGTTTTTACGTCATGATCAAGATTGTCATAAGAGCTAAATTTATTGTTTATACATGCATTTAAATTCAGTTGAAGATGCTAACATAGGTCTACTAACCCCCCACCCCCCATTTTTGCTTAAGAGGCAGAGAGAACCCTGCCATCCTGGTTTTCTCCCCCAAAGCCAACAACAGCCTGGACTGGACTGGGACCAAAGCTGGGAGCCAGGTACTCAGAGTCTCCCCCTAGAGTGGGAGGGTGCCAGCCACTTGAGCTGGAGTCAGGAGCTGGAGCTGGAGCTTGCATCCCAGCAGTCCGATATGGAACAGAGGTGTCTTAACTGATGATTGCTATGCCAAATGCCTACCCTTGTTCCATTTTTTTTTTTTTACATTCTATGGACTATTTATATTTATTAATGATCCAAAACCTAATGACTAGATGATGATATTCATACTTTGATGTTTCACGATATTCAAAACAACAATTTTTCCCTTTCAGATGGTCTTCTGATAGTTGGCGTTCACTCGGCCAAGTTTCCAAATGAAAAAGTCCTGGACAACATTAAGAGTGCTGTTCTTCGCTACAATATCAGCCACCCTGTGGTTAATGATGCAGACGCCAGCCTTTGGCAAGAATTAGAAGTTTCCTGCTGGCCGACTCTGGTCATCCTTGGACCTCGTGGAAACATGTTATTTTCTTTGATTGGAGAAGGACACAAAGATAAATTATTTTTATATACTTCAATAACTTTGAAGTATTACAAAGACAGGGGTCAGATCAGAGATCATAAAATTGGAATAAAGCTCTATAAAGATTCTTTGCCCTCTTCACCATTGCTCTTTCCTGGCAAAGTAACTGTAGACCAAGTTACTAATCGATTGGTAATAGCAGATACGGGACATCATAGGATTTTGGTCATCTGGAAGAATGGACAAATTCAGTACAGCATTGGAGGTAAAGTTTGCTTCTAATCATGCTGTATAATGTGTTTTATAGTTTAAATAACTCAGGTAAGCATCCACATTAAAATTGAAAATTTTGTAACTATAAAAAAGCAGTATATATGATTTCATCACAGAATTGTTATTTAATTTATGGTATCTTAATTAACCTCACTCTTTCAAAAATAAAAATACCTAAAAAGCTCTAGGTGAAAAGGAGGAAATTGCTAAGTTATGACTTTTAAGTATATTTAAAAAAGCCAATCATTTTCAATACCAGGATAATATAGAAACTTGACATTTACGTTATAAAATTAATAGGCCAGAATTTGCTCATAATTTTACTTCTCTTTCCTTACTTCCATAAAAAGTTAAGCATAGTTATGGTTTCATTCCTTTTGGGTGTTGCAAAATATAAGGATCATGCAAGCATAGGCCATTCTACTCCATTATTTCCCTAGCCTTAAATCTAAAAATGCCTTTTATTTGTCCCTGCATTATTAATAAAATCTATTAAGTGCATTCTTATTAATCCTGTTTATTCAGACTGAACCGATATATAAAAATATATTAGTCAAAGAAAAAAGTGATGTATCTCTTTGTGACCAATCCTGCCTGAGTAGCATTAATAAAGATAGGGATATCTGAATTTCCTTTGCAAATAAGCTAATCATATTCCTAAGCCATGATGCTGTTTTTAGTATGCCAAGATATTCCCTTAGCTCTTGAATTATTTATATCTCATATTTGTGGGTTTTTTTTAAGAATATATGTTGTGTTATGGTGTTTGTTTTGGCTGTTTGGTATTTCGATTTCTGATAGGCAGCTCTGAGAATTGTTACTCTAAAAGTATATTTTGTAGGAGTTTGAATTTAAATATTTGAAGAATTTTTAATAGAGGTTATAATTTTCAAAGTAATAGAAATGTTCTTCTTTGTTAACAGAGAAACAGCAAAAAGCTACATTTCCCAAACATATTTCTAGGAATACTATTATTTCATAATAATAAATATTCTTGTACTTAAAAAAAATTTCCTTGGTCAGAGACTCTGAGGAAACACTGATTTGATGTGATTTAACGCTTTTTTTTTCAATGATAGTGTCAGAAGATCTAGATCTTTTACTGTGCTAATGTGCCTCATGAATATCCAGAGGAAGTTACAATGTGCAGTATTTTCTGTTCTGAAGTAACCACAGAACTCTCTCCTTTTCTATCCCAGGAAACTCTCTCATCAATATTAGCAACAATAATGTTAATAGTAGTAATGATAGCAAACAATATACGCCTGGCTTATTCAAAGCATTTTACTGGTAGTAACTTATTTTTGTTATCACAGTGCTATGCTTAGGTAATATTATTTGTTCCATTTCACAGAAGAAAAACTAAAAGACGCAGAGAACTTGCCCAAGTCATCAGCTATAAGGAAGCAGAGCTGGGATTTAAACCAAGACTGTTGTGTTGAGTTCATATACTACTGCCTGCACTGCACTGTCTGTTCTATTTTACTGACATGCAGGACAATGGAATTGTTTGCAACTGCTGACTTGAAGGCTTGAGTAGCTTGTCCCCTAATCCTCAGAGATAACTGCTGAGAGACAGGCCGTTATACCAGGGTTACTGTTTGTTTCTCTTAGGGTATATATGGGACATTGTATAGAACAGTCAAAGATAAGAATCCTTAACCTGGAGTTCGAGGACTCAAGAAATGCTTGAACGGCCATCAGGATCTCAGATTATTTATAACATTTTTGGGCATGTGCATTTTTCTAGGGAAGGGATCATAATTTACATTGTATTGTTGAAGGAGTATATCTTCCAAAATTGTCCAAAATGATTAGCTGCTGGATAATTAAAATTATTTTTAACTTTTCCTACACTAGATAATTAAAATGCTTTTATAGTTTTCTTGGGATACGTGCTACTATATTTAAGTGCACTGGTAACTATTATACTGTAAGCCGTATTAGTAAAGCTCAGTCTTGAGAAAAATTCAACCACTGGGAAGCATTTTAGTTTGTCGGAGTATCATGTTAAAACCTCAGCACTAAATACGATTTTGGTTATTCTTTGATTTTACCTTTTAAAATAACTTTTTATGTGGAAAAATTTTGTCTTATAACTGTCTTGTCTTTTAGGACCTAACCCTGGAAGAAAGGATGGGATGTTTTCGGAGGCCACTTTTAATTCTCCACAAGGTGTAGCCATAATGAATAATATCATATATGTGGCAGATACTGAAAACCACCTTATAAGAAAGGTAATTTTCCTCTTTCAAGTTTTAATACTTCTCATCAGAAATACTGACAGTTACTATATTTAATATTTGAAGTTTAAGGGTGACACTCAGGCATGTCAGAGCATCCTTTTTCGGAGGTATTTGCTTTACTTTGAAGTATATCTGAGTGTCAGTATGTAATTCCACAGGAAAAAAACCAGTAAGATTTTGCTTTTGTTTTTAATTTTATTTTAATTCCTTGTAAAGTCATGTACTTAATCATGCAAAAGCTCCTCATTTTGAGGTATATTCTTTTTTTTAAGGTTTTATTTATTTATTTGAAAGTCAGAGTTACACAGAGAGAGGAGAGGCAGAGAGAGAAAGAGAAAGGTCTTCCATCCGATGGTTCACTCCCCAATTGGCCGCAATGGCTGGAGCTGCACTGATACGGAGCCAGGAGCTTGTTCCAAGTCTCCCACACGGGTGCAGGGGCCCAAGGTCTTGGGCCATCTTCTACTGTTTTCCCAGGCCATAGCAGATGGGTGAATTGGAAGAGGAGCAGCTGGGACTAGAACCGGTGCCCGTATGGGATGCTGGCACTTCAGGCCAGGGCATTAACCCTCTACACCACAGTGCCGGCCCCGAGGTATATTTTTAACTAGTAGTTTACAAAGTGACACTTTGTCCTTTTTCAGTTAAATTTTCTCAAATTCCTGCCTCCTCTCAACTCTTATGCTCTGGCTGGAAATACTTATTTGTTACTCTTAAATTTTGTTTTATCTCTTATATAAGTAATATGTGCTCTTGTTTAAAAAAAAAAAACGCTAGTTAATAAATAAAGGTTAAAAAAAAAGTCACAGTCAATACCAGTTCCCCTGAGATAGACAACTACTGTTAAAGTTTTTGTGTTTTCAGCCGGCGCCGTGGCTCAATAGGCTAATCCTCCACCTTGCGGCGCCGGCACACCGGGTTCTAGTCCCGGTCGGGGCGCCGGATTCTGTCCCGGTTGCCCCTCTTCCAGGCCAGCTCTCTGCTATGGCCAGGGAGTGCAGTGGAGGATGGCCCAAGTGCTTGGGCCCTGCACCCCATGGGAGACCAGGAAAAGCACCTGGCTCCTGGCTCCTGCCAGGATCAGCGCGGTGCGCCGGCTGCAGCGGCGGCCATTGGAGGGTGAACCAACGGCAAGGGAAGACCTTTCTCTCGCTGTCTCTCTCTCTCACTGTCCACTCTGCCTATCAAAAAAAAAAAAAAAGTTTTTGTGTTTTCAGAAACTTCACTCACATAATTTTATATTAAAAAGATTATTTCTAGATAGAATTTTTTAAAGATCAATGAATTATTTGGAGGGGTAGAGAAAGAGAAAGATCTTCCATTTGCTGGTTTGCTCCCCAAATGGCTGCTAGGGCAGGGCTGATCCAGGATGAAGCTACGAGTCTGGAGCTCCATCTGGGTCTCCCATGTGGGTGGCAGGGGCCAAAGGACTTGGGCCATCTTCCATTGTCTCCAGGCACATTCACATGAAGCTGCATTGGAAGCAGAACAACTAGTACTCAAAACTGGTGCATTGCAGGCAGCAGTTTAGCTTGCTGAGTCACAAAACCAGCCCTAAGATAGAATTTTTTTTTAACAAATAGGATCATACCATATATAGTAGTTTATATCTTCTTTCATTCGAGAGACAAATAGAGTCCCCATCCATTGGTTCACTCCCCAAATGCCTGCAACTGCCAGACCTGGGCCGGGCCAAAGCTAAAGCAAGGAACTGAATGCAGGTCCCCAACATGGGGAGTAGCCCGTGCACTTGAGCCGTCACCTGCTGCTTCACCTCCGCATCAGCATGAAGTGCTAATCAGGAGCCTGGACTGCAAGTCAGTCCCAGGCCCTCCTCTGTGGGACCTGAGCCACTAGACCAAACCCCACTCCTGGTGTGGCTTTTTTTTTTTTCTTGCTTGCTTTATTTTTTCATATTAGTCACATGAATGATATGACTATGTTGCATCCCATTGTAGATGTACATAGTCATTGTAAACATTTCTCTTCAATGGCTATTGGCCATAGTCTATTGGACTTTTTTTTTTCAGGATATTTATTTATTTGACAGGTAGAGTTACAGACAGTGAGAGAAAGAGACAGAGAGAAAGGTTTTCCTTTTGTTGGTTCGCCCCCAAATGGCCGCCACAGCCAGAGCTATGCCGACCCGAAGCCAGGAGCCAGGTGCTTCTTCCTGGCTCCCTTGCGGGTGCAGGGGCCCAAGCACTTGGGCCATCCTCCACTGCTTTCCCAGACCGTTAGCAGAGAGCTAGACTGAAAGAGGAGCAGCCGGGACTAGAACCAGCCCCGATATGGGGTGCCGGCACTGCAGGTGGAGGATTAACCTAGTGCGCCACAGCACCGGCCCCAAGTCTATTGGACTTTTAACTTGCCATCTGTTTGGAAAATGAGTAACCAAGTTCCTTCATCTGACCATCCTGTCCAAACATTGTTACGGATACTTTCTTCCTTTTTTCACTCCCCCTTCCACCAAGATCTATTTATTTATTTGAAAGAGTTAGAGAGGCAGAGGCAGAGAGAGAGAGATCTTCCATCTGCTGGTCCACTTCCCAAATGGCCACAATGGCCAGAGCTGGGCTGATTGGAAACCAGGAGCCAAGAGCTCCCTCTGGGTCTCCCACGTGGGTGCAGGGGCCCAAGCAACTGGGCCGTCCCCTACTGCCTTCCCAGGCCATTGCAGAGAGCTAGATCGGAAGCGGAACAGCCAGTCCCAAACTGGTGCCCACATGAGAGGCCGGCACCACAGATGGCAGCCCTATCCGCAGTGCCACAGTGCTGGCCCCCTCACTGTTTCTTTTAATGTGAATGTTTAACCTCATTTATTTGACAGTGTTATCACTTAATATACATACAACAAAAGCATATATAGGATACATAATAATATGTACGTCAAACAAGAAACATGTTTTCTTTACTGTTGAATCCCCAGCACCTAAACAGGTCTCACTCATGGTAAGGGTTGAATAGCTATTTGCTGAGTGGATTTATGAGAAAATAATATCTACTTAGTGATGTATTTTCAAAAGTGTGTATTTCTCTTAACACATAAAATGGTGATGTGAAAGAGCTTTGTGTGTTCATAAAACAGATGTATTTTTTTAATGTCTTGACGACTCTTCTTGGAAACGTGCATATGTGAGTATGTTACCAGGGGGATGTTTGTGTAATATTTCTAAGTTTATTTGATTAAGGAGCCCTTTTTAGACAGAGCTTTTCATAAGTCTAATGTTTCTGGCATATATTTTTTGGGAAAAGTGTTTTTCTTAACTGAACTTCTTTTTACAAAAATTATTTATTTGAAAGGCAGAACTACAGAGAGGCAGAGGCAGAGAGGGAGAGAGAGAGAGGTCTTCCATCTGCTTGCTCACTCCCCAGATGCCCTAACAGCTTGAGCTGTGCTGATCCAAAGCCAGGAGCTCCCTCCAGGTCTCCCACGTGGGTGCAGGAGCCTAAAGACTTGAGCCACCTTCCAGTGCTTTCCCAGGCCATAGCAGAGAGCTGGATCAGAAGTGGAGCAGTCAGGACTTGGAACAGCCAAATGGGGTGCTGGCACTGCAGACGGCGGCCTCACCTGCTACACCACAGCCCCAGCCCCTTCCTGAACTCTTAATGATAATGATCAAAATTGCTTTACCTTTGTGCATCTGTATTCATAGTAGTGGCATAGACATCCAACAGTGTACTGAGTAGTAAGATAGCAATATTTGGTAAATACTCTTCCTTTTTTAATTATACACTGTTTTTCCTGCTGTTTTTCTTTTCTGTATTGTACATTGTTTTTCCTTACTGGGTTCTTGAGCTTTGGCAGTGATGCTGTATTTCAAAGCTTATGTGTTTAGCACAGTTTCAGCAAATTTAGGTTACCTGAAGTTGTTTTTGGATTGTAAGACTTAGTATAGTATAGTGTCCGTTAAAATAGGGGATGGTACTATTATTTCCTCCATTCCTTCTAAAAATATGAATATTGTATTCTGCTGTTATTTCAGACCTCATTTATAGAGTATTAAGATGATCTTACTCCTGTATTCACAGCTCATGGGCATTGCTATTCCAAGCAGATTTTTGTTGTTTGGAATAGCATATTTATTGATTTATAAATTTCACTATGTCATCATTCTCCACTCCCATTGTCAATCCCCTTACATGAACACATCTACAGGCAGCCATTCTGATATGAGGGGTCTTCAAGAACTGCTTGGAAAATTTGTATTATGAAAAAAAATTCATGCATTTAAAAAAATTTTGCACCAAAATAAGCATTATTTTTTAAGATTTATTTATTTATTTGAAAGAATTACAGAGAGAGAGACAGACACATGGAGAAAGATCTTCCATTCGCTGGTTCACTCCCCAGATGGCTGCAACTGCTGGATCTGGGCCAGGCTGAATCCAGGAGCCAGGAGCTTCTTCCAGGTCTCCCATATGGGTGCAGGGGCCCAAGCACCTGGGCCACCTTCAGCTGTTTTTCCCAGGCCATGAGCAGGGAGCTGGATAGGAAGCAGAAGAGCTAAGACACAAACCAGCACTCCTATGGGATGCCTGCTTTGCAGGCAGTGGCTTTACCTGCTGTACCACAACACTGGACCCTAAACTTACCTTCTAATTCTGTTTCTCCACAGAAACATAGTGTTTCTGAGTCATAGTGTTTTGTGTGCATGGTTTTTTTAAAAAACAAGTTTATTATGGTATATTTTACATGTCAGAATGTTCACCGTTTTCAATTGTGTGATTCAGTAGCTTAGTAAATTTCACAGGTTTTAAAATTATAACCATAATTATATTTTAGAAAATTTTTACCCAATTAATAATCTTCATAACATTACAGGTAATCCCCATTCCCACCCCAAGCTCTGGGCAATCACTAACCTACTTTTTATCTCTATGAATTTACCTTTTTTTAGTATTTCATATAGATAGAATCACAATATATGGTTTCTTGTACTGGATTCTTTCATTTTGTGCAATGCTTTTGAAGTTTGTTGATGGAATAG